GTGGGGGGGGGCGGTGGTGGGGTGTCCTTGTTCCTGACGCATAGTTTTAAAAGCCCTGAACTTGATTTAAGTTTAAGTCAAAACTGTGAATGTTTCAAACACACTGAGAAGTAGGATTGGTTTGAAACGGAACAGTTCTCTTAATGAGTCCGGGCTGCGTTCCTGTCATCAGTGCAGATGTCTGTGTGTTTTGGGTTGGGGGTTTTAAAACTGCACCGACGTCTACATTAGATTGCAAACGTTGTTTCGGTGAAGGGACTGAGTCCTCCCACCTGGTACGTCCAGCATTCTAAATGAAACTCATCCCTGTGTTGGGTTTATGGTGTCAACTTTTGTCTCTGCAGGAACACGGTGACGCCAGGCGGTAAACCCAACAAGACCAGAGTGATCTGGGGTAAGGTGACCCGAGCTCACGGTAACAGCGGGATGGTCCGAGCCAAGTTCAGCAGCAACCTGCCGGCTAAAGCTATCGGACACCGGATCAGAGTGGTGAGTCAGAGACGTGTACTAGGAGTTGGACATGAGTCAAAACAGCCATGTAGAACAAGAAACTCCAGTGAAATGCTTTGTTTCAGACAGACTCCTGTACTGCTCCTGGATCAGATCTTACCGAGTGCTGTGCTTCTGTTGCCACAGTTGACATGACTTCCTGTCTGTTTCCAGATGCTGTATCCTTCCCGAGTGTGACGAGGAGTCATGGTGTCTGCAGCTGCTGATTGTGTTTATACAAAAACAATAAAGTGATTGGTTCAAACCTGTTGCATGGGCTCATTGTTGTTTTGTTGTTTTACTGACTAGTTACTGTCCTATGCCGACAAGACACCTGATCAAATGAATGGACTTGGTCATTATAACGACTGGTAACAAACGGAGATATCTGGCCTTAAAAGGCCTTTGAATGTGAAGAACCTGCAGAAACTATGCTGCTGATCGGCTTTGTAGTCGTGTTCTACTGCAGACGACTCATATGAGAACAGATTTTAGTGTGAAGCATCAACACAAGTCGGTGAAAACGGGTGAGCTGCTGCTTTGAATCATTTAAGGTATTAATTATAAGCTTAAATTCAGTCATTTGGCTGTGTGGCCTGCCTCAGCAGCGCCATCACTAAACAAGAGCAGTGCATTCTGGGAACATGTGAAATTGTAGTGTTGCCCTGAATTCAGTCCCACAGGCACAGCTTGCTGTCAGACGTCTGCCACTGAAGATAAGTAGGTCATGGTTTTACCTTATGAAACGCTGGCGAGTTCGGTGTGGATGTGACACGAGTAGCTCGAGAGCCGTGTCGGACTTCACAGTAGGGACCATGGCAGGTTCAGACGAAATAAAAACCAGCGACGTGTTACTGGACAATCTGTGTTGGGAGCAGTGAGAGTTTGTACGTGCGCACTGGCAGCAGAAGAAATGACGCTGTTTTATGTTTATGTAACCCCATCTCCGCAGGGGTCACCTGACAGATGACAGGATCACATCTGTGTGAACAATTAAACTTTTACCCCCTCGTGTTTGGTTTTCTTGTTTATTCTGACAGGTGTGCACCTGTAGGAGTCACCTGTAGTTTCTTGGTTCAGGATATGTGTGTTGTTGAAACTTGTAGTTTCTTCAGACAGTGTAATATTCATTTGCAATAATATTCAGAATGTTTCTATAACCTTTTAGTACTTTAGGTGGTGGCTGTGGCTCATGAGGTAGGGCAGTCGTCTCCTGACCAGCAAGTTGGTGGTTCGACTCCCGGTCTCCCCGCATGCCTAAGTGTCCCTGAGCAAGACACTGAACCCCGAATTGCTCCTGGTGGCTTGACTAGCGCCGGTGCATGGCAGCTTGTCGTCATCAGTGTGTGAATGTTGTGTGTGAATGGGTGAATGGTGTATCATCTCTGTAAAGCGCTTTGGCCAGTGCAACACACTGTGAGAAAGCGCTATATAAAATACAGTCCATTTACCATTCTCTGTAGTCCAATATAACCCACCATATTTTCCTTTACTGAAAAAGCCGTTTTATCATAAAATGTACGTTCATGTTATCTTAGTTCCCACATCGTGTGAATTTATATTAAATTGTTTCATGTCATAAAGTTTTTGTTTTGTTTTGTTTTTCAAGAAAAGTATTTTCCCTTGTTACAATTTAGATATTTATTTGTTAAAATCACGGACTTGTAAAATAACGTGTTATTCTTACGTTTAAGGATCAGGGATTGCGTGCTCAAACACAAAACGAACTCACAAATGTAAAAATAATGGCTGCAGATCATAAAAATACACATCGGAAATAGTAAACGTGGAATTAATTCTATTCAAATTTGATGAATTGCTGCAGCCTGACAGTCTTGGCTCAGGACTCAGACAACGTGGAAGCACGTGAGCATTGACGTCATGAGATGGGATACAACAATGGGGATGCGGGGTCTTCGTCACGGTTGCACACCATTTCCCATGAAACCCCGCGCTGGTGCTTCTGCAGCTTCACTGGGTTGGAGCCGTTTACGGAGAACGGCGGACCTGAGGGAGGACAGGGAGGACGGAGCGGCTGCCCTCACATCGCGGATGCACACACAGACGCACACAGGTGACACAGACAGGTGAGCACGGCACCGACCAGCTGCTAGTGTGTTTTTAATTCCTGTCTGATGCTGGGAGCGCGAGGACAGCGCGTTATATAACGTTATGTGCTTTTATTCTGAAGGAGCCTCATTCTGATTATTGCATTATTCTGGAAGGTTCTTTTTATTCTGAAGGGTTTTATTGTGGCCCACCCTGTCCCAAGATTCTTTGCGTGCCGGGAGGGCAGCTGTCAAGGTTGCTAGGCGACAGGAGCGGCGCATCAGAGAAGCCCAGTCTTTTTTACTTGTCTAGTCGCTCAGCTGTACCGGAACACACCTGATTCTGGTTCTGATAGCTGGGCCTTCGTGGTGTACGACGGCTACGAAGGCCATGGGACAAACAGCTTACGTCTAGTACTACTGCAGTACTCTGCTCAGTACTGGTGTTTTTTCTTACCTTTATTGGCCAAGTATGTTGCACACAAGGAATTTGTTTCCGGTACAGAACCGTTGGCAGCCATCTGCGGCGCCAACCGATGGCTCTAACCATCGGGGGCAACAGTGTCTTGCCCATGTGGACTGCTTTACCTACTGATCCACAGTTCACCCACAGTTTGCAGTATTACTGTGTGTTTGTAGTGTTTTACAGTTGCTTTACTGGTTTGACACATAAATGTAGTATTTTTCTCATGCTGTATTATTACGTTACTGTGTACTTTAGTGTACTGTACTGTTTTTACAGTATTGCTGCATGTTTTTACAGTAGCAATCTTCCTACCAACCTTCTGTTTCTCTGTTCCCCAGATGCAGTATGTTTATAGTATTTTCATTTGCAATACTTCTGTAATATTCCTACTATTCCTCTTGGGTGGTTTTCACGCTTTCTTTGCCACGTGCTTTGTGGTACTCTAACATACTATATACTGCGGCTGCCATCTTCTACGCCACCACATCACCTGATGTGTCTGTGCTATTCAGTGCCACCTCTGTGTTTATCAGCGTTTGCAGAGTTTCACTAAAGGGGGTCAGAGGTCACAGCTCCATGTGGTCTGATAGAAGATGAGAGAACATGACTTTGGACAGAGCGAGCCAGGGTCTCTCCAACCCTCCTGCGGCGCTCTGCCAGAGTCAGAGGTCACACTGCACCAGGTGAGAGCACAGGTCACATGATACCATCTCGCCACTGGTTTCTCATTTGCTCCAACAGACTAAATCCAATATAATAAGGATATTAAAACAAAATATTCCTGAAAGCTGCACGGTGCCTGCAGGATTTACACATGACTATAAAAGTGGTCGCAGTACGTAGGGACAGAAAACTGCTCTGACACCTCGTGTTCATTTTTAATGTTTCTCACATGTTCGTGCTGGTAAAATGTGGCTATCCTCAGGCCCTGCCGTTTGTCAGCTCACTTTGTGTCAAACAGGAACACTACCAAAATAAAAGGCAGGTTGCTCCTGTAAGATGTTCAGGCCTGATGCGAGCATTGTCAGATGTCAAATTGTTCTCAATCCCCAAAGTGTTGGATGGAGCCTGAAGTGTGAGCCAGCTGTCGGCCGGCCCCTGGTTTAAATTCAGTCTGAGGTGGTGATCAGTCGGTCAGCCCATCAAATGTGAGCCTTGTTCTGTTTCAGATGACTGACAGCTGATAAAAAGAACACAAATGGGAACCGTAGAAACAGTCTGAGATTAATTCACAGGAGACAAAAGATGGTGAAAAGTGATAATAGAACAGCTGAATAAAAAAAAAAAATCATGTCTTTCTACAGAAACGGTTATTTCATGTTCAAATTAGCGAATGCTGTTTTTGCAGAAACCATCAAAGTTCAGAGTATTGGAGAAGATCAGCATTTGAGAGAAAATCAAGAGCAAATTGAAGCAGCACATCTCTGTTTATGTAATGAAGGCCCGCCCCCTGCTGCTGCACAAAGGGATCCAGCTGTCTAATTGGCTGAGCCTGAGGGGCTGAGGCACCTGATTGGCTGAGGCCATTTGAATGGATGTGATGTGTGTTAGCGTCATGAGGCAGAGAAATGTGAGCTCTGCACTGCTCACTAGCAGCTGAGAGGACTGAGCTTGCTCAGAGAGGAGGCTGAAAACGCACATCGGCCTTCCATCTCTGTGAGGACCCGACAGACATAACGCATCCCCTCACCCCTCAGCCTAAACCTGACCGTCACCATCTAATGTCTTGACCTAGACCTGATTTTAACCTGAACCTGCCCTGTGCAGGGCTGACGCTCTGTGACTCTGAGACGGGTAAAGATCGAACATGTTTTGTGACAGTGCTTCATCCCCCTGATGAAGACCCCCACCTTGTGCATGTCAGGAACCACACTTGAGAGTCTGCTCAATCTGCATGGACACAACAAAGGCTGGTGTCGACTGACAGGAAGCAGAATTAGAATAAGACAAATTAATTAAATCACTCAGGCAGGTTAGAAACTGGCAGCTGGTGAAAACATGGAGTGTCAACAGCTGAGTGTAAACTAATATATCGTTATAGATCATAGTTTTCTCTCCACTGTTCATGTACTATATCTGGCTCATGGCTTTTTGATAAAAATCTAAATAATTTGGTGCTTGTTGTAAAATCAAACACGGTGGATATGTGTGTTGTCAGGGTGCGTTTGGCTGGTGTGATGACAGATCAGCTGGTTGCCATGATAAAAAGTTGGAGGAGGGCGGAGCTAAAGATGAAAACCCAAGCAAACCAGGTGGAGACAACAGCAGGTGATACACACACACACACACACACACACACACACACACGATGGTGCTTCTGTAACTGTGAGGACCCTTGTTGACATAACGCATTGCCTGGGCCCTTAAACCTCAGGTGTCATCATCCGGTCGATAGCGCAGGTCTTTTTTCTTTTATGACCTTTCACTGGCTGACGCCTCTGGCCACCCACGCCCGCAGCAAAGGACAGCTCCTGTTGGATGACATCTGGCCTGTGTCACAGAAGGAGTGTTGCCATGACAACAGCCAGAGGTGGGTGGAGCTAATAAATTAATGAATTAAGAACATTTAAATAGGACCCCAAATTATAATCAGCTTGTTTGTGTTTAACAGCAAACATTTTAAATGTGTTTGTAGGAAATGTCTGCATGAAATGGGGGTTTATCAAACACAGCTTTACATAATAAACACCCACCCTACCCAGCTCATTATCCTCCAGCAACATCAGGCTGGAAAACCGGGAAATCAAGAAGTGTTTTTACGGAACGTACTGTGATAATTGTGTTGATGCTACATGTGAATTATTTTTACAGTAGATCAACAAAATCTAGCAACTTGTATGTATGTGGTATGAAGACAGTAAAACATAAAAGTATTTAAACACTTATTGACAGTAAAAGGTGTGTAACATAACCAAAACTCCACAGTCACAGGTTAACGAGCTAACAGGCTAACAGACTCTCTAACAGTCCCCTTTCTGAGTCTGCCACATGAGCGACTCTGTTGAGCCCTGGTCGCTTCGGTGTACAGGCTACAGTTCACATGTACAGGAAGTGTCGTGTGCTTGTCTGTATAGGGCTTAGTATACAGGACTGTAGCATTGAACACTTTCAGCAGCGAGCACATACAGCTACAGTAAGTCCCGAGAGACAAGACCTGCCCCAGGGGACAAGTCTTAACCACTGTGATGCTTCCATGTGTAAGGCTGGACTCAGGAGGACCAGTCGTGTCCCCTGTTGTGTTCCTTTCGCAGTGTTATTGTTGAATATTATGTAGTCCTGTTTTATCACTAATGTCAGAGCGTTTTACTGCTAGATCAAATTTTAGTCCTGCATCATGTGGCCCTCAGGTTGGCGTCTCTCTGGGATGAGGAGCAGAGGTCAAAGGGCAGAGAAGCGTCTCTGTGTTCGGTGGTCTGGTCTTTCTGCCGGGCTCGTCTCCTCCTCTCCATCCTCTGTCTCACTGTCACACAGCTAGCTGGATTCAGTGGGCCGGTGAGTAAGGACCAGTTAGACGGCACCAGTATGGATGACCAGAGAGACCAAATAAAACATAATAACCAGTAAAGCCAGTAATAAACCAGTGCTGTCGTCCCCCAGGCATTTGTGGTGAAGCGTCTGCTCGAGTACACCCAGCAGGAGGAGTTGGACCTGGGCTACAGTCTGCTTCTGGTGCTGGGGCTCCTCACCACAGAGCTGATCCGTTCCTGGTCTCTGGCTCTGACCTGGGCCCTGAACTACAGGACCGGATCCAGACTGAGAGGGGCCATCCTTAGTCTGGCCTTCAACAAGATCCTCCGGCTCCGCAGCGTCAGGGACAAGTCCATGGGACAGGTATGACATGTTTGTTCTGCTTTGTTTATATTTTGTTTATGGTTTTGTTATATTTGCTTTTGTTGCATAGCCATCTACCCACATCTGTACAGAGACCATCTGCACTTTACTCATCAAGTGCTTCTCATACACAACCTCATCTACTTGGCTTTGTACCTGAACTCGCCCAGTGACAATAAAGTTGAATCTAATCCAGTCTTCTCCTCAGCTGGTGAACATGTGCTCCAGTGACGGTCAGAGGATGTTTGAAGCAGCAGCAGTGGGCAGTCTGTTAGCAGGAGGCCCCCTGGTGGCTGCACTTGGTGTTGTCTACAATCTCTTTATACTGGGGCCAACCTCTCTACTTGGATCGGCTGTTTTCATCCTCTTCTACCCCACCTTGGTCAGTGCCTGTCTAACTAAGTCTGTTTGAGTCAGTAACTTATCTGAATGGTCATTTTATTATTTGGTGGATGATACAGAAAATTAGCCCATTAACTGTTAACCTGGTAAAAGCTAACAGCAATAAAGTTAAACTTACAGAAAGGTTAGATCAGTTAGCCGTAGTAGTCTGTCCTTGTAAACACAGATACAAACCAGTCAGCACTCAGAGAGAGCAGACCTCCGCCAAGGGGAACTCCGTGTCCCCATAATGCCATAACAGCAACATTCCCATGACAGTGTGACCCTCATATTACAACAGTTTAACCATGAAAACCCGCTGCTGGCATGTGGAACGACGCTGATATTATCGTTAATCTGAAAGAAATTCAAGAACAGACACCCACTTGTTGGTTTAGGGGTCAAACGTTGACATCAGTGAGCGGAACGTGGGCAGATCGATGAAGACGTCACATTTCTGAAAGTCCGTGTTCTGCTTGTTCAACAGCTGTTTGATAAACTGCTGATCCAGTCTCTGTTACTGGCTGATCGGTGCACTGCGGAGTGATCCCTCATGGCCTCTGTTCAGCTGGGAGTGTGAGAGGAGATCAGCCCCTCCCTCCTCTAAACAGAGACCCACATGGTGGAAAAGCGAAGCAGGACAGTTGGCGTCAACCTGTGAGGCTATGGCGGGCAACGTTAAGGGAAGCACAAGGTGTACCGCTCGTTAGGCTCCGACAGTGGAACTGTGGCTATAATGTGCAGCTGGAACAGCGGCGTCCTTGCTAACAGACTGCTGGGCTGTGAACAAGACGTAGCTGCCTGCTAACAGAGCCAGTGACGAGCACTCACAGCTCCAAAAACCACTGGTGGAAAGTAACTAAGTACATGTACTTAAGTACAGTTTCTGAGGTATCTGTACTTTAACTGAGTATTTTCATTTGCTGCTAATTCATACTTTGACTTCATTAAAGTTCAGAGGTAAATATTGTACTTTTTACTCCACTACATTCATCTGATGACTTTAGTTACTAGGTGATACCTGATGGGAAATTCACACAATACCCAGCAGTACCTCAAATTAGAAGCCTGGAAGGTAGTTACCATCAGCTCCACCTTTACCAGCTGCAGCATTAAAGCGATGAACACAGTAACGCATCAGTCACTATGATCCAAATTTATGATACACATGAATGTGAAATGTGCTATTCTGCAGAATGTGCACTTTTGGTACTTTAAGTTGTACCTGTAACATTTTGAATGCAGGAATTTTACTTGTAACAGAGTATTTTTATACTGTGGTACTGCTACTTTTACTTAGCTAAACAATGCGAGTGCTTCGTCCACCACTGCCAAAAATGTAGACACACATTCTAAACTGGCTTTACCTGGATAGACTGACCACATATTCTCAGTCTAAGTGGTTACTGTGTCGCCTGAAAGCATGTCACAGCTTAACAAACTGAGAACAGCTTTGAGCCTGGCTCCAAATCTCTGCCATCAGGCTCTCGCCTGGCTGTCACTGCATAGAGTAGATCTCTCCCCAGCTGTGGGCCGTGGCCTTGCTGGGCTCCTCCAGTCCCTGTGTCACACAGCGGGGTGTGCTGAGTGACAGCACTCAGTTTACATTGACAATGAATGGGCGGCTGTCGCTGGCCCAGGGATTTGTCTCCGTATGTGCTTGGAGTACTCAGCAGCACAGCTGTGCACTTTGGCCACAAGGGGGCAATTATAGAGATATTATTCAGTTAGCTGTTAACCTGCTGTAACAGTAATAGACATAAAGAGAAACGTCTATCAAAGGTACTCAGTTAGAAACAGCCTTTTACTAACACTTGTAAAGTAGACCATATATCAAGGATGGCCAGTTAGCCACAATGCTAACTGGTGTAAATAATGAACTGTAGCCAGATTAACCAGTTAAATGTAACCTGCTATAATGCTAACTGGTGTAAATGAAGAATTGTAATTAAGGTAGCCAGTTAGCTGTAGCAACATGCTAGCAGGTGAGATTAAAACATTAAGAACACATGACCAGAGTAAAAATACAAGACAGGTGACAAAGTGCACAAGTCTCAGCCTGTAGACTTTAATGTAAAATGTATTTAATGTAAAATTCTTTGTCTTCTTCAGAGAAAATCCAATAAAACCTTCTAGAGAAAACATTCTTTGTCTTCTCACATCACTCTGATCTGGAGCACAACCAGGATTCTTGGAGCTGTAGTAATGTATGTAACTCTGGACTTGTAGCTGTAATATGAAGAGATTACTTTGCTGGTGTAGACAGCTATACTGTTTACACCTCATTTTAAATGGGTGTACTGGTTTTCTGCAAAAAGACTAATTAAAATGGTGCTAAAACAAAGCCACCAACATTAAATAACTGATGTAGTATGGACTGTTCTCCCTGAGGAACAAATACGATATTTTACAAAAACAAAAACTGAGTTTCATTTGGCACCAGCTTTAGGGTTTTGTGGATGTGTCCCTTTAATTAATATACTTGTTGCATGTGGTATCAAATGTACATTTTGAACTTTCTGCCCACAGTAGAGAGGTCTGCAACGTCTGGCATTAGTCAGCTGTTAAAAACCTGATTTCTTAAAGGGTAAAGGGAGTGGAATCTTCTTTTCTCTACATGCTCCTGTGTCTGAAATGACAGCTCTGATGAAATTATCTACCTGTAGAATCTAATCCTCCCACCTGATCAGATCGATTGATCATCCATTGTATTTTCTGACCAGATGTTCAGCTCCAGACTGACGGCGTACTTCAGGAGGAAGGGCGTGGCCGTCACCGACAGACGAGTACAGAAGATGAATGAGATCCTCAGCTACATCAAGTTCATCAAGATGTTTGCCTGGGTCAAAGCCTTCTCCCAGGAAGTTCGCCGTACGTACTCACCTGACATACCCCGTCGGCCTGTCACCATGGTAACACAGGTAGACACTGATGATGAACCCTGTGTTTTCGCTCAGGTATTCGTGAGGAGGAGCGCAGGATCCTTGAGCTCACAGGTTACTTTCAGAGCATCACAGTGGGTGTGGCTCCAATAGTCGTTGTTATTGCCAGTGTGGCAACATTCACCACCCACATGTTGCTAGGATACGACCTGACAGCCGCTCAGGTGCCAAACTATGTCTTTGTGTTTTCATGTATATTTAATGTTTTAATTGTGCATTCTACATGCCCGCATGTTACAGCTAACTGGCTGGCAATATGACAACTCTTTGTACCTGTTAGCATTACAGTAGCGGGCAGCTAACTGGTCTTACTATAGGTCTTTCTTTAGGCCTGATAGAATTATAGCAGGTTGCTGATTAGCCGCTTTTGATGGTTTCTCGTCACACATTAGTCAGATGCTCATATACTTAGTACCTATGATCACAGCAGCAAGATGTCTCACAACTCTGCCGATGTTCTTATAAAATCCTTTATTCATTTCCAGCACTAAACGCTGAAACGGTTGTTTCTGCAGGACCTGGGGCCTCATTTATAAAACTGTGCGTAAGAGTCATACAAACGTTTACGTGCACACAGAACACAGGAATGGTATATACCAATCAATGATCACATTTATAAAACTACACTTCCACACTGTTTCCCTTTATAAATCACAATCATGTTGAGAATGTTCGCAGCTTGGTGAGCTGCGTATTCTGCCCAAAACACAGTTAACCATATACAGTCAATGCAAACACTCATGCATACTGAAATACGCATTCTTCCTGTGGAGACTGGAGGCAGCTCTACAAAGAAAACAGTCTGAGATCGCTGCAGAAGCTGTCAATACAACAAACAAGATAATACCCAGATTAAGCAAAGGCATGAAGGTGGATGCCTTCATCACTTTGCTGGACACTGTCAGAGTGTGGAGACACGGGAACACCAAAGCTTGCTGCTTCCTATGTGTTTAATATGTAATGGCTCTAGACAACTACACAGCTGATCACACTGTCGGCATCTAAAAACAACAACAACAACAAACTGGGTATATCCCCACAGCACCCACAAGGCAGGGGGGCCCCTCAGTCCAAGGGTCCCGCCTTCTAACAGTTATGATAACAATCCATCTGTATAAATTTTTTAAAATTATGTATATAGACGTCACTGATTGCATCTTCACGGCCAATTTAGAGGTGAAAATAAAATAAGCATTATTTACTGATTCATATTTTTCTTTTAGATGTAGGCTGTCAGAGACCTTTGGGCCGACTGACATAAAAGGCAACATAAGCGCACTGAGGGCGAGGGACTCGGACACAGCATGGAAAATGTGGTTTGTCCCCCACACAGTGACACAGGGAAACTGCCAGCACTGTTTCAGAAAGTCTCCAAAAATAGAATATAAAATAGAGATTTTGCATGCAAGCAAATAGCTAAAGGCCTATTGGCAGCAGTGTAGCTACCAGTGATTCTGAGAGCCTGGCTTCACTCAGGGCAGAGTTTCACAGTCATAAAGAAACTGCCCAGATCGTGAAATGTGCTATAGGCGCACCAAAAGACATTTTGAATGCGGAGGTGCATTTCAAACTCTCAGTATTTACGTAGCAGACTGTGTAAATTATACACTGACATGCGCTAGCATGTAAGAGATGGCATGGAGGTTCGGATGTTTATACGTTTTAGAACTTTTATCGAATTTAGACAAGGACATGCAGCGGATTGTCCAGAACAAATGCTACCATTACTATCAAAGAAATGTAGCATGGCCAAGTTAAGTTAAAGTATCTCCACTCGGTCAAGTGTATCCCATATAGCCACGGCCATGAAGCCGCTTCTCACTCTACCTGTGACTGTAGCGCTGAAGCCTCCTTCTCAGAACTGATGTAAATGTTGTAAAGATGTAAATGGTTAAGATTTGGATCGGTCTCTTTTAAAACAGAGAGGTGCTTATGGAGTAATGAGTGCCCTACACAACGTAACACAGCTGCCTGGATGTGTTTCACACTGTGGACATGTGATTACTGTTTTGACGTGGAGAGAAATTAAACCAACAAGAAGGATCAATATCAGTTCACTGCTTCACCATCTGTGTCGCCAGTTTCCCTCATGTCCAAAATACACACAGTGACAGGTGAGAGTTTACGTACAGGTGCGCACATAAATTTGTTCTTATAAATCCCGACTTTTCCGCTGAAAGTCTCGTACGCAGCGTTTATAAACGAGGCCCCTGGTCTCTGTGTTCAGCTCTGCATCGCAGCATCTTCTTTATCTCTTTATGTAGGCGTGTTTAAGAGCTGACCCTCTCTGGACTTCCTCTTGGATGCTAACAAAGTTTGTTTTCCATCCATGTCTTCAGGCCTTCACTGTGGTGACGGTGTTTAACGCCATGACCTTTGCCCTGAAGGTCACTCCGTTTTCTGTCAAGTCTCTGTCTGAAGCTTCAGTGGCCATGCAGAGATTCAAGGTCTGACTTCTGACTATGTACACGCCTCAGCATCCAACTCTATAGCTGCACACCCAAATAGCTACACCCTTACAGGAGATACCCATGCACCTTCCCACCTACACATTTACCTGTACCTACCCGCCTACCTATTGTACCTGACCTTTTTCTTACCTACATATTTCTGCCTACCAACCTACTGTCCCACCCTTCTTTCCTGCCTTCCTTTATGTCTACCTAGTTTTGTCCTGCCGACCTAGCTACATTTCTACCTACCTCTTCCCCACCTAACCATTGTACACTTTTACACACGTTACTTACACACTTTCATTGGTCCAGTTTGTTGTGTTCGGAGGTTGGACGGTCCATCTAATCCCTAGCTGTGGGACACACAGTTGGTTGAAATGGATGAATGGACTGTTTGGTTATGGTTAGGAATGAGTGAGCAGAAATGAAACAAAGCCAACTTGTTTGGACAGTTTGATCTGAGGAAACTTCAGCCAACATGTAATCCCAGTCAAATTCAAGGGCCCTTTCACCAGTTTGATCTGGATCGACCTCTGTCTCTTCAGAGTCTCTTCCTGTTGCCAGAGGTTGACAGTGTCCGGGCGTTACCTGGTGATCCTCAGGTTGCTGTGGAGATGTGTGGGGCCAGTTTGGCATGGGAGGGGGGCGGACAGAGCGCTCAGGCTAGTCCATGTGTCCGAACAGCCAACAGACTCCAACACAAGGACAGGTAAACTGGCTCTTACTACATCTATGTTGAATTATACAGTCATTCTCTCTACAGTCTCATGTAAAAGTTTAGGCACCCCTTGATAAATAACAGATTTTGGTGATTTTTTATTTGAACAGATGTTAACACAGTTTCTCTTGGAAATGGAAAAAATGCACAATATTTTCTGCAAACAGTGATGCATAGTTACTTCTTATGCCATAAATTGAACAAAAATAAAAAATAAAAACATGATTATGGCATGGTGCAAAAGTTTGGGCACCCTACACAATCAGTACTTAGTAACACCTCCTCTGGCAGATATCACAGCTTGCAAACGCTTTTCATAGCCAGCTAAAAGTCTTTCAATTCTTGTACGTGGGATCTTCTCCCATTCTTCCTTGCAAAAGGCTTCTAGTTCTGTAATATTCTGTGGTCGTCTTGCATGCACAGCTCTTTTAAGATCTACCCACAAATTTCCAATGATGTTTAAATCAGGGGACTGTGATGGCCATTCCAAAACCTTCAGCCTGCGTCTCTTGAGGTATTCCATAGTGGATTTCGAGGTATGTTTAGGATCATTGTCCTGTTGTAGAAGCCATCCTCTTTTCAGCTTCAGCTTTTTTACAGATGGTGTGATGTTTGCTTCCAGAATTTGCTGGTATTTAGTGGAATCCATTCGTCCCTCCACCCGTGCAATGTTTCCTGTGCCACTGGCTGCAACACAACCCCAGAGCATGATAGATCCACCCCCATGCTTAATAGTTGGCAAGGTGTTCTTTTCATGAAATGCTGCTCCTTTTTTCTCCAAACATGCCTTTGCTGATTGTGTCCAAAGAGTTCTATTTTAACTTCATCAGTCCACAGCACTTGTTTCCAAAACGCATCGGGCTTCTGTAGATGTCCTGTTGCATACTTCAGACGTTGGATTTTATGATGGGGACGCAGATAAGGTTTTCTTCTGCTGACTCTTCCATGAAGGCCTTGTCTGTGCAAGCATCGCTGCACAGTGGAACGGTGCACCACCACTCCTGAGTCTGCTAAATCTTCCTGCAGGTTTTTTGCAGTCAAATGGGGGTTTTGATTTGTCTTTCTGACCAGCATACGAGCAGTTCTGTCCGAGAGTTTTCTTGGTCTTCCAGATCTCATCTTGACCTCCACAGTTCCCCTGATCTGCCATCTCTTAATTACATTTCTTACTGTGGAAACTGCAAGCTGACAACGCTTTGCTATCTTCTTGTAGCCTTCTCCTGCATTGTGGGCATCAATAACTTTCATTTTCAGGGTCTTACACAGCTGCTTAGAGGAACCCATGGTTGCTGGGTGTCCGCAAGTGTGTGCACAAGGTTTGAAGAGTCAAAGTATTTGTACAGCTTTGAAATTGGCATTTACCAATGACAGCTGTTGCTGTGCATCAGATCTAACGAGCTGATTAAGGTCTGAAACCTTGTGAGAGACTTTGAGACTCTGGAACTCTTAGGGTGCCCAAACTTTTGCACCATGCCATAATAATGTTTGCCCTCACCTATGGTCATGAGGTTTGGGAAGTGGCTGAAAGAAGGAAATCACAAATACAAGTGGGGGTGGGGCAGACTGGAGATTCTGCTACTTGAAGTAAAAGTTCAAGTTTAAACAGTTCACTTGTATTCCAGAAGATGAAGATGCAGGCAGCATAAGAGTAGAATGGCGAGGGGCGGAGTCAGCATGCAGGTGGAAGTTGATAACAAGTGAAAACACCAGGTGATCAAAACAAAAGCCACAAATGGGCAGGATACAAAATGAGAAATCACGGAGCGGGGGGGTTGACAAGAGAAGGTGGGCTGGTACTGATACTAGGGGGCTAATGACGAAAAGGGGGGCAGGTGCACAGGTGAGTGCGGGGAACCAGGTAAAGTGAAAACATTCAAATCAGCTTTTTCTGCCAAAATCCCCCTTTTAAAACTTATGGAATTAAGTTAGAAACCAGAATCTAGGCCTGGTTCCAGAGCTCTGAATCACTGCCCACATCTGTGTTCTGATCTGTCATTCAGAAGTGAAGCAGAATGTCACTTGGGCTGCTGGTTACTGTGGTAATAAACAATAAACAGTTCCTAAAGTGTAACACGAGCTAATCTGCGTGTGATGATGTTCAGGTGCAGAGACAGAGCTGCTGCTCTTCAGGAAGAGGAGGAGGAGGAGCAGGAGGAGGTGACTGGGTCCTTGTTGAGAAGAGGACGAGATGTAGCTTCAAGCCCAGAGGAACAAGAGGATGGGGAGGATGAGACCTGTCCTCCCCTCCTGTCTGTCCCTCCTGTCTCCCCACGCCTTCAGAGCACTTTGCATTGCATCAGCCTGAGCATCCAGCAGGTAGACCCACGGTTCAGGCCCAGTCCCTGCAGCACAATGAGAGTAAACATATTAACATACAATATTGCTCCTAGTCTTAATACCTGACTGACTGTCTGTGTGACTGTTCAGGGGAAGCTGGTCGGTGTCTGTGGCAGTGTCGGCAGTGGGAAAACCTCCCTGATCTCCGCCATCTTAGGACAGGTGACATGATCTTGACTTCTGATGGACAACAACCTGTAATTTCACTTTCTACTTCTACAGCCCTACTACATCCCCTGCCCCTAGAGTGAATGGTATTGATTACTGAATGGTGTATTGACAGATGACGGTGCTGGAAGGTAATGTTGCTGTCAGAGGAAGGCTGGCTTACGTTGCTCAGCAGGCCTGGATCCTGAATGCAACACTAAGAGACAACATCCTATTTGGACAGGAGTACCACGAGGACAGGTGAGGTGTCCACCTGGGCTGCGTCCACATCCCAGCTTGAAGTTTCCCAGACCTGGTGTGTCCACAGCAGTGTGAACAGACCAGGTGGCTTCAGACTAGATCTGGGCCACTTGCGTATGTGCTCCTAGACCCAATTCCTCTCTGACCTCTGACTGTGCAGCGCCGTCCGAACAGTCAGATCAGAATCCATGTGGTTGTTTTAACGTCTCCTCTGCACATACGGCCTGTCGTCATCATTCGGCGTCGGCCCTTCACAGACCGGTCGGTAATAATAAACATGGAGGAGAGCGACGACAGCGACGGGGTCAGTGGAGAGACCAGGACGTTTCATATGTGGTGGGCGTTTATGGAGAAGCTTCTGATCAGGAGAAACTGGGAGGAACATATCGTAACCCAGTGGTTTGGGAGGAAACTGGGCCGTGTGACCACCTGGTTGTTATTCTTGTGTGCACGTGGCTCACATTTCAGTTACATCTGTGCATGTGTGGCAGTTTAGGAGCTCAGCGGTGTTCACACCGGAGCCAGGTACGCGGCGCTGACACACACGGAGGGGAAGCAGTGACACACACAGATCAGATCTGACTGAAACAGCATAACTGTGATGTGGACGCAGCCCTCGAGGACAGGTGTGCACACTGGTCTGGTCTGGGACATGCTCCCACCCCTAGACCGACTAAGTGACTGGTGTTTTTGTCTGTCAGGTATCAGTCTGTGCTGAGCTCCTGCTGTCTGAGACCAGACCTCGCCCTGCTGCCCAACGCAGACCTCACAGAGGTGACATCACTTCCTGTTTGTACCTTAGTGTAGACAGTGCTCTGTAGGTAGAGGTAGGGGCCTACACACCAGTGCCGTCACTTCTACATGTTGCTCTTTTACAAAATGCGTTTTGCCCGTGCTCTTGGTATGTTTGTGCCCTGTGCAGCAAAGATGGGAGGAGAGGCACAGCGAGATGGAAGTACCATGAAAATCACATAGCACAACATGAGGTGAGGTGTTGATATTTTACTGACCAATGAGAAGAGACATTCAAGGAAAAGATCTGTTTTCAGCAAAGAGTCCACAAGGAGGCAAAACCCAGCCAGAATGATGTAGTGCTGTTGATGATGCTTCTACTGCTACTGTTAGCGAGCAGGGTCAGACACACTCCAGTTGTCTTTGATCGAAGGTATATTAGTTTAGATGAGGTGCAAAGCTCGGTGTTGAACTCACTTATTCCTTTTTCCACTGCAGGAACTTACCAACCTGTAACCGGGTTCTCCCTGAACATCGCCGTTTTAAAGGTGTATTAACTAAGATTTTGCACTCTGCCTGATAAATCCAGTGAAAACGCTAGGTAGAGTAGGTAGACTGGTTTTAAGACATGAGACATGCATACAGTGCTAAAACCAAACAGCAAGGCATGAAGGATAAAGTAAGAATAAAGGAGGTCACAAAAACAGTTGTCACGGTCAACTCCAGATAAAACAAGTACATAAAGAATCAATCACCGGTGAGTTTACAGAATTCAGTCTATCAGATGTCTGGAGCACAAAACCTGAAGCTGAAGACCACCTGAACCCCTTGAACACAGACCAAAGTTAGTTCCAGGAACTCGTTCCTAAGTGAGCGGAGAGCAGTGGAACAGAAGCAGTACCACAGAATTGGCTGCGTGTTACGTAATGCTTGGATATGTTCCAGCAGTGGAAACAGCTCATTCTTCATTAACATTACACCTTGTTGTGATCCAGAGATTCTGAGCTCATAAATCCACAAACCCTGCTCCTCAGTCTGTCTCCACCTCATACACACATCTGAGAATCAACCACAGAAGGCCAGGGGCAAGGCCAGCTCAGTAGCACTGCCAGCTGGTTCGTTACCACTCTGAGAAGTAGCATGGATGCCTGAAAATACCTTTTACCGTCTGGAGACAGAACCATTTTTGGCCCACTTAGATCAGACTACCTCAGAATCTTCAGTATGACATAATAAGAACGGGCAGCGTCACCGTTCCAAACCAGGAGTGGTCGTCTGCCTCAGGTCTTTACTCTGGAAAACAGCATTCAGAGTTTGTGTTTGCGTTACCGACAGGATTCAGACTGTTGGTACATGAATGTGTGATCAGCTCAGCCAAACTGCAGCTTTTTGAAGAATCCCGTATATCCGTTCCATCAGATCGGAGAACGTGGTGCCAACCTGAGTGGCGGGCAACGCCAGCGAATCAGCTTGGCCCGTGCCCTCTACAGTGACCGGGACATGTACATCCTAGATGACCCGCTCAGCGCCCTCGATGCCCACGTGGCCAACCATATCTTCCACAACGCCATCAGGAAGCAGCTTCACCACAAGACCGTCATTTTTATCACCCACCAGCTGCAGGTAAGCCTCCTGACAGATACAGGAACACTTCACTTGTTACCATGGAGATAACCTGCATCTGTGTGCAGTATCTGGTGGACTGTGATGATGTCATCCTGATGAGGGAGGGGAGTATAGTGGAGCAGGGTAACCATGACAACCTGATGAAACTGAATGGAGACTACGCGGCTATGTTCAACCACTTTCAGCTGGGAGACACGCCGTACATTGAGGTACCTGTCCGTGTGGTTTTACAAACTGTACAGTACTGTCTGTCTATCTGACTGTCTGACCGTCTGATTCAGGCTCCCAGCAGGAAGAACGGCGGCTCTCAGAGGAAAGCAGCAGACAGTAAACCAGGATCAGTGAAGAAGAACGTGCAGGTTATCAAGGACAACGGTGAGATACAATGCCCCGAAACCTGACCCTTTTCTGTTCTGTTCTGTTGTACTCTTGTTTTTTCACTCTATTTGGTCATGTGATATTAAAGGGGAGGAGCAGCAATGTGGAGGTGTGGCCTGGCCTGTGTTTCAGCTTTACATGGCAGCGTGTGGTGGCTTGGCCTCCTGTCTGCTGATCCTGGTTCTGTTTGTTTTGAATGTGGGGAGCTCCGCCTTCTGCCAGTGGTGGCTCAGCTACTGGATCAACCAGGGCAGCGGGGTGAGATGCTGCTCCTCATCACCTCCTGCAGATCGCTCTGCTCCTCTCATAAGCTCTCCTCCTGCCTCCATACCTCTGCTCTGTCTTCACCCTTCTCCTCCTCTTCTTTCTGATTTCTCTTTGTCCCTGGTGTTCCAGAACATCACAGCGACCCACAGAAACAGCTCAGCAGTGAGTGTCAGCATGAAGGACAATCCCATGATGCAACACTACGCCACCATCTACACCGCCTCCATGGGAATCATGCTGTTCTTCAAACTCATCAGAGGCATCGCCTTCGTCAAGGTCAGGACACCAAACAGCTGGTGTTTCATCAGGACGACAAGATCCGGATCTGACTGTACATGTTGGTGCTCCCAGGCCTCTACAGATGTTTTTCAGTCTTAACATGTACATGGTTAGGTGTTAGGTTAGCGCTCTGAGGTGACAATAGAGGAAATGGTTTCATGGCTCGAGTCCTGTAACTTTGTGTATCAGCAGCGGTTGAACAGCAGTGTTACGCAGTGGAGCGTCTTACCTCACACATGGTCTTTGGCTGAGTGCAGACACCGGCTAGGGAGATGCTTTCACCCGACAAGAGACACGTTTCATTTTGGCCAGACATTCCTCATAGAATTAACATTAATTAGCAACAGCAGGACCGGATGTTATTAAAGACAGCAGGCTGAGAGGATGAAACAGTTCAGTAAAGACAGGACTGTATTTTGACTCACTCTATTTTAGCAGACACAGATTTGATACAAGATTTTGGACATCAGAATGACAAGTCTGCATGTCTAGTAAATCTGACAAGCTGCAGACCCTCAGTGACATCAGTGCTGAATCTGGCTGGTTCTCTGCAGGGAACACTGCGAGCCTCCTCAAAACTGCACGACGAGCTCTTCCACAAGATCCTCCGCTGCACCATGAAGTTCTTTGACACTACACCCATGGGACAAATCCTCAACCGCTTCTCTAAGGACATGGATGAAGGTAAAAGACAGGACTGTGTCACTGAGATGCTGTCGGGAAGTTGTTAGATACCTGGACCATAATTTCTTCTTCTGTATTTCCCCCAGTCGACACCCGTCTGCCTCTCCAGGCTGAGATGTTCATCCAGAATGTGATCCTGGTCTTCTTCTGCCTTGGCGTCATCGGCTGTGTTTTTCCGTGGTTCCTGGTGGCTGTGGGTCCTCTGTTCTTGCTCTTTGCAGCTCTCCACAGCGTCTCCAGGGTTTTCATCCGGGAACTGAAGCGTTTGGACAACGTGACGATGTCGCCCGTTATGTCCCACATCACCTCCAGCATCCAGGGCCTGACCACGCTGCAAGCCTATGACAGGGGCCAGGACTTTCTCAACAGGTCAGGGTTGGAGCCATAAAATGTGCAGAGTAGATTTAAGATTCAAGATTTTTATTCACCATTTATGCATAAACGGACAGTTTAGGCACATAGGAATTCTTGTGCAGGGCTTTCTTGGAGTCAAGTAGAGTTAAAAGCCAGAAGGAGAACTCCTCGTCTGAAAATAAAGTTACGTAAGAATAACATAGTATAAAATGTGAATACAAAAATAAGATGATAGATAAGATGGTGAATTTCAAATATTGCACATAGTATTTCACATGGTGTAATTGTATATGGTCTTCTACTTAGTAGGGTAACCAGGGTTATTGCACATGTTTTCCACGTTGTGTATTTGCCATCAGTCTTACTGTGGCAGGGAAAAAGCTGTTGTAAAGTCTAGTTCTGTGTGTGATGATACTGTCCGCCCTGCTGTGCCCGAGGCTGTAGGTGCAGTTTTTGTGTCTGAGCAGAGAGTGAGCTGGGTGGAGTGGATCCCTGAGTATGTTCTCTGCCCTTTTACCACAGTGCTGTGTGTACAGTGTGTCCATAGCAGGCAGTTCAGTCCCAGTGATTGTCTCTGCAGTCTCTGCCTGTGTGGTGTTACCATACCAGACTGTGATGCCAGTGGTGAGGATGCTCTCTACCAGTCCTCTAT